TTCTGTAAGTATATAACTGAGTACACAGTATATCTAAGCATATATATAGATAAGTATATAACTGTTTACTGACTTCATAAACAGGTGGACTTCATAGAGGTGGACTTCATGTCCACCTCTAGGTGTGGACATGAGTGGCAGAAAGTGTTTTAACATCCACTCAAACAGTGCTATCTCTAAAGATATAGTCATGTGTGCCTGTTGATTCTGCTTGTAGTTGTTCCCTCTACAGGAGTATGTGTGCCTGTTGATTCTACTTGTAGTTGTTCCCTCTACAGGAGTATTCTAATATTATTATTGCCACAAAATTTATAATCATCTTCTTTTATATGCCTCATCCAAGCAAATGGTATCTTTTAGATAGTTACATAAGTTTATATATTTTGCTTTAAAAATGTTACCTTGGAAGATTATTTCAGGATAATGTCTTCCAAAAAGTGAACTTCTCTCTATTTTAGTATTTTGTAAGACTTCAAATCCACAAATACATCTGAGCACTTTTCTGTCTCAAAACAGCAGTCCTAGGTCTAATATCTCCCCTGGGATATTGATGTGGTGCAGTCAGCAGATACAAGAAAAAGCATGATCAAGATCAGAGTGAGCACTTATTAGCAAATGTTTTTTTTATCTGTAGTCGTCTGCTGGATCCTGGCCTTTATACAGCAGATGATATAACCCAGTAAATCATCTGTGCCTGAGGAACTGAGGTGCCAGTCCTGCCACTTTGCCCTTGTTCGGGTGGCTCCGTTTCCCTTCCCCACTCCAGCTTGGACCCAAAAGTCCTCACTGACCCTTGACAGCTCCGTAATGCTGGCCCCACCTAAAAGTAGGTGGAAAATCATTTCTCAGCCCGTCCCTGCAGATAGATGGGAACAGGGATATGATCAAGCAATTGCAAAGTCCTTGCTTTGTGGAACTCAGGCAGCCAGCAGGAACCAATTACATATCTCTTTGTGGAAAACCTCATCACTGACAACGAGTTCCTCTGTGTGTGTGTGTGTGTACGCGTGCGTGTGCATGTTTTTTTTTTTTTTTGAACTCAAACAAAGAAATTGTTAATTTGAGTGTGCTCAGACTACCTATTACCTGACCTGATTTGTGGCAGTCTCATTAGACAAATCCCAGTGTCTGGAGGTAAGTGCCACTAAGTGCAAAACTGCAGCTTTCTGACATTTGGCCCTATGATCTGCCTGAAATAGCTTGAAATCTTTATTCAGCTAGACTAACCATGCCCCTCAGAAGACAAGCGTCTGCAAACAGTTAGAATTATCACTTCAGACACTAAGTTTATATGTCTCCCCAAAAGGCCTGACATGTGCTAATTGATTTTTTTTCTTTTACTTTTTAATCTAATCAAATCGATGACTGTAAAAATCTTCCTGATAAAGAAAGCAGCCAGGAAAGCAGCTCTCAGACTCTCCCGACATAACAAAGATACACACTGAAGTTTGGGTAGCAAACAGCAGATACATGGTATCCAAGATGACCATTGATTCCAAGCTGAGCTATTTTTACTCTTCATGGGAGTTTTCTTAGTGTAAACTCAGTATTGAATTTAATAATGAGGCCTCAGTCATCCAATTGCGAGCACTAGCTGTCCTGACGTGAAGCACTTCCTATGTGCTCCTCCTCCCGTGCCGCGGTGTCATTGCGGGTCAGATGTAGGGTAGGGTTAAATTCCCTGCTGGATTAGGGTCACATTTCCCTGGCAAAAACAACTAGGCCTTGGTCAGAAGGATGAGTCCTGGCAAAGCTCACTCCAGAGACCTCTGTTAAAGAACAGTAGAGAAGCGTAAGGCAGTATACAGAGTGTTTGTGGAGAGAAGGACTAAACATGTCGTAAATAAACTCAAATTCTAGGGAAACAGCTGCATGTTTTTCCAAGATAATAGATAGGTAGTTTTTTCAATGGGTGGTACGTAGTGTCTGGACATCTAAACAAAATGGGAGAGTGTGATTTCTTTTCCAGAGTTAAGTCTCTCTCATAGCCTACAGTACACAGCTCCTCTAGGTTCACTTAAACCAGCTGTGCACAGTATGGAAAGGAGACTTAATCTCGCAATTCTGATTTTCAAGTATTTTGTAATTAAGCTTTATTTCATTGTTCTAAAGCAAATATTTAAAATAATTGCTAAATCACTAACTTATTTTAATGGCCCTAAAAGAAATAATTTAAAAAAATATTCTATCAAGAATAGTCATTCTTATATGATAAATTCTGTTGTGACAAACTAACCTGCGTTTTCCATTTTGTCAAAACATTTTGTGACTGCAGCGGGTGAAGAAGTTGCAAGTCAATAGTAGCGTGTTTCAATTTATTCCTGCTATATCCCTTTCCATACTTTAGTGTACCTCCCGTGATAGACAGAACTGATAGGTTAGCTTGCCCTGTAAGTGCCCTTAGCACATTCAAGTGTCAGACCCTGTTTTCAGTGCTTATCATTCTGCCAAACTTGTCTCACTGGGCTGAAAATTGTGGGTGTTAGAATCGGGCAAAATTGTCTGGAGCATTTCAGCGTTGGTGCTAGTTATTTCGAGAATGAAGTTTGAAAGAACTGCTTATATCACTGTTTTTTCTTTTAATAATCCTGGACAAGAAAATCCTGATTTTAGTAGAAAATTTAGCTGGCTTGTCTCTTCAATGCATTTGGTTTGAGAAGGTTTGCTCTGCAGGGTTAACTTTCTCACAGAGAACGCAACGTACACTTGCTGTGTATGTTTTCATAAAAATGTTAGTGATATCTGTTTCCACTGTTGCTAGAGTTAGACAACACATCAGTTGCACAGTCATGTAAGAACATTTTAATTGATGTTACTGATAATGGCAATTAATTTCATTTGTTCTGTCAAATCAGTAAGGAAAAAAATTGATTTTTTTTTTCAATCGACATGAGATTTCAAAGTAATAGCTATAGAAATACTAGCATACTTCTAAAGAGGGAAAAATATATTAAGAGCTGGGTGACATTTAAAAGCAATGTGCGTAAAATAAGAAACGTATAATCCGATCTTTCTTAGGATTTATAACCCCATTACAAATGTGTACAGTCAGCTGTTTTAGAGATCTATCAAATGATGCTTTAATTAAACTGTAAAGGAAAAGCAAATAAAGACTTGTCTCATATCTGACTTGATTTATTAATAGAAAAGGTAACAGATACTAATTGTTTCCGGAGTGATTCAGTTACGCAGCAGGGGGGGGAACTAATAAGAGTGCTATACGAAAGGAAGAATTCCAATAAAAAATAGAAGACAGGAAGAAATTTTCACCATGGTTCATAAACTGCTTGTGCTGAAGCTTGCTTGGAAAACATTTCAATAACACGCATGGCTGACCTTTGATTCTTCAAGAGCTTTTCTTCAAATTCCAGTGAGGGATACAGTCTCACTAAGGTCAACTTGTACGGACATGAATAGCCTATGGGCTATTACAAGCTACTCAGAAGCACAGTCGTGGCATAGCCAATCACACTGACTTCCATCTACACATAGAAGACAGAAGATAAAGCTATTGTTACCTGCTTGGGTTGCCTAAAGCCATATCGGATTAAATCTTCAGTCTTTGAAAAACTGTAGGATTGTCATACTTTGCTTGAAAGAGATGAAATTTGTTGTTCTGCTAGGGCATCTTCATTTACAGGTGGGGAATTATCTGATTTTTTTTTTTAATAATATCACATTATTACATTATTTTAACCAAAATCAGTGACATAGTAACAGTAATCAGTGACATAGTTAAACCATGCAATATATGGGACATATTAAAAACCTGGAAGCAGTTCCTGAGGATTATACTAATAATATTCAAAATGTCAGATTCTAGTGCTTTGCTTATACTTTTCTAAAATTCATTAGTGGCATGGTAGAGGTAAGAATGAAAGTTAGCTGTATCAGTCAATGTAACATGAAATTCCATTCATAGCATCAGTTGGTTCCTTGTGAGCGTTTGAAAAAGTCAGGTGTAAACATGCATGCGCACGCACGCACACTGTTTATTTACACACATCCTACTACTTTATTTGCCCAACTTTCACTTCCCAAGCACATTCCTGACAGAGAATGGCCATTCATTACATTTGACATTGTCTGTGACTGTTCCATCAGCCAGAACTTTTACTGTTGCTGTCTTTAACGTGGCATCAGTCATCTTAGTTTCCCAAGATCAGTCTTGGGTTTTCTAGTGTTCTGCTCTATTTCTAAATGCATCTGCTCTTTTAAAAACTATTGTTAAAGACTTTTTTTCAGATTCAGGCCACTGATTTTTATCTGTCAGCAGTTTTGAAATTTTTTGAAGCTATGAAGGCTACTTAGCCTTCAACGGGCAGTACGTAGTGTCTGGACATCTAAACAAAATGGGAGAGTGTTTGTCAGTTGTATTTACATTTACTACAGTTAGTTAGGAACGTCATTGAGGCAATAATGACTTAACATGTGGCAACTAAATAGCACAAGTGAATAAGGAAACAGGCAGCTATGATCTACATTTATACATGCCAGTTACATGACTACCTCCTCCATTTGAGGAAGTTCTTCATTTAGTGGATAGGTTTCCTCCTGTAGAGTAGCAGCCTATTTGCAGAAGACCTTTGGATAATCCTCACTCATCCTGAAGATTTGGATCCTCCTATATAGTGACACTCCATTGTTATTATTATGTTTCTTAAACATTAATGGAACTATAAAGTCAAAGTCTAGAGAGTAAGTATAAACATATCCCTTCCCACTGTGTTTATGTCTTGGGTAAATGCCTAAAATGGTTATCAATTTGCATTTATTGTCCACTTAAACAAGAAAAATGCTACCACACAATGAATTTTATTAAATTTATAGAGCAGTAACGTATCTAGTTCTTTTTGTAACTAAGATAGACTTCAATATATTCGTAAGTGAAAGTGGTCTCATGCAATATTGCAATAACTTCAAATTTTCCAGTAAGAAATATTTAGAAACTTTTCTAACATGTTTGTTAGACATTTCATCTTAATATTCTTCTTTCACAGTTCTTGAATGCCATCCTGATGGACATCAGATCCTGAAGAGCCCTTATCGGAGTGTTGAGTTTGATTCATCTCACCTGCAGCAGTCAGCTATTCAGGATTTAATATGTGACCATTCCCTAACACCAGGATGGTACCGCTTTATGATTTTTGATAAGCCTGCGGAGATGCCAACCAAGTGTGTGGAGGTATTGTTGCACCTCATTTGTTTATGAGAAATAATATATCTTTTTCTTAAGATACTCTCAGTTAAGTATAAAAAAAGAAAATAATTATGGAGACTGAAATGCAAAACCATGTTTATCTCTATAAATACACAACGCTATTAAAAATGTTAAACGGACTATAGTCTTACAAATTGTGGGCTGAAAAATTTTAAACTGAATGGGGTAGGGCAAAGGATAATAAATTATATTGCTTTCAGAGCATTCAAAAACTGTCATTTATAGTCACTGCTAACGATGACCTTTCTCAATGCTAGCATAGCAGCAATATTATGCTTTAAAACCACAGCTATATGATGGTCAGTTAGTCTGTTACTATCTGTTACTAAAGACACATGAAAGCAATATAAAGACTTGTAGCCACATGATTCCCGTAATTGTGGAGCTTTTAAAGTGATCACGTAAGAGAGAAGAGGTTAATCCTAAAATGACTTGAACTCACAGAGCTAACTGAAGATTAGTTTTCTTGTCATTTGCAAATCCCCTAAGACTCAAAATTACTTGGAATATGTAATACCTTATATATCTAATGCTTGACTTTGGAGCTACTTCAACATCTCTGTAATAGCTGTATTTTAAGGAGCTATGTCTTTGTAATTTCTTATTTTAAAACACTTCCTTGTTTCAAAAAAAATAAAATCATTAGACTATTTTATCTATGCTTTTTCTAAGGAATGAAAGTGCATAAGAGCAAAACACTTAACAGCAACACAAAACAGCAAAAACATACCAGTAAAATTCAGCTGAACTTCCAGCATTCCCCTCCCCACTTTTTTAATCTCTAGAGCAGTATAAAGCCACTGAAGTATGCAGGTAAATCCTATCTTTAATTTGCAACTGACTCATGGCCTTAGAGGGCTACGTCACGGAGTCAAGGAAGGGGCAAGGGAAGCTCTGCCCCGTGCTGAGAGGAGTGTTGTGCTTTCACTTCAGTTCACGCGGCACTACTGACCATTCTGTCAGTTGGCAGACCTTCTGTCCCCAAGAAGGCTCGTGTGCTGCGTGTGCAATTTGCTGTACAGTAGCACCAGTGTCGCAGAACTTTTCAAGTCCTGTTACCCCAGACTATTATACAGTAAAAAACTGTAGAGAATAGTATATTTCCCAAAGGTAGATTTAATACAAACAAACTACCTGCCTACTTTAATTTCTCAGAAGGGATACTTTATATGCAAAGAGCCAGCAAGGTCAGCTAGGGAATAATGTGACATTTTCACCATAAGTTTTTTCAAAGCACAGGTTGGGCTAACAAGGTATCCATTCAGATCATCTAGGAGAGTTTTTAAAATCTGACCTCAGTACTAAGTATTTAGTAAATTACCTGATAAAGACAGTTTGCCATGCAAATGCAGAACCCTCCACATAACATAGTTGGAGGGATAGAGCACAAAACCAGCTTGATATAGCATTAACTGCTTTCTCGTGTTTTTCTCTGGTGCGTAAGATAAATCACTGTGGCACTCAAGCCCCTGTCTGGTTGTCTCTGAGGGAGCCCGAATCCATGCCTCGACCTGGTGAGATCAAGCAGTTAACAGCTTGTGCAACATGGCAGTTTTTCTTCAGCACTTCAAAAGACTGCTGTCTCTTCCGAATCCCTGTCAGTGTGAGAAACTGTGGAGATTTCTTTGTTTACTTACTGCAGCCCACCCAAGGATGCATGGGGTATTGTGCAGAAGGTGAGAGATGCTTGCTCTAACTCAGTGACCTGTCTATGTTTATTAGTAAGTGTGTTTGTCAAGCTTTCTGATGTTCTTACGTGTTAACCTTCTTAAAAAGAAGCCTATGACATTCCCAGTAGGTGCCCTCTGGTGTTTGCTCATTTTAAAGTTATTCGAAAATAGATAAAAACAACAGCATAAAAACTATAATGTATATATTTTTAAGTTACATTTTGTAAGACAATTTGCTGAGCATAAACATTTCAAAATAGTTATATGTACTAAAATTTTCTGTAATCCCTACTTATAATATTGATGTGATACATCAATGGCGTGATGTGGAAAGGTATATTCATACCACCCACTTCTAGTTTATATTTGGCACTCAAATACTGTTCAAAAGCCCAGGAGCGTAGGAATTTAAATTTCTGACATAGTCAGGTAGGGATAGAAGGGGCATTTATAAATGAAAACTTAGAGTGCTTAGGTTGACACTCAAACTCTGTGAATATTTATCAGAGAGAGATAATTTTGTGTCAGAGTAAATTTTGTTTAAGAACCTGACCAAACTATCAGCATATCAATTATTGTTTAGCTTCTTTGGGAGTATCTTTCTTACTGTAACTCTTCTGTCTTCTTTTTGGAGAGTACATACAGTGTTTTTGGAAGA